TGCCATCTTGCGCATTACTTGGAGAGGTTTTGCGACATATACCATCACTCCGTGTACCTGCTGGGTTGTACTATCCAATAGGACAAAAGATACCTTCTGGCTCTATCCTAATCAGTGGAGCTACATATACCTTGATTAATAAACTGAGGAGCTTCTAAAAGACTGCATATTTACACAGTTTCTGAAACTTTTAACTATGCTGAGAATTCATGGTTTCAATAATGAATGTACATGTCGCGAAAGTACAACATAAAACTGCTCTCGCCTTGGAATGGTTTTTGTTGTAAACAAAATAACATTGCAGGAGATGAGAATATTCCCACAAGGAATGGGCCCTTTGGTGGGTTAAACTCCACAAATGGGTCTGGTGACAAACAGAGATGGCTGAGCTTCTAGATTTTAAGTAAGAACAAAAGAAATCCTCTGTGCATATTCTGTCTATGTTCATCTGTGTTTTACATTGACAGGGTTAGTTTCTTAAAAAGGAAGAATTTGTTTAGTGGTTCAGTTTTTGCCTCTATCGCCATATTCCCGCCACCTCTTTTGCTACCCACTGGTTCACTGGCATTAAATAAATGGTGTTTGTCAAGGATGTTCTGTGGTCCCTTGAAATGATGTTCTGCAGGAAGTGAAAAGAAATAAGCTGTTTTCAGACTTGGCCTCAACGTTTTGCTCCAGAGATGATATCGTAACTCTAGGAAATTATACAGAGATGATTTCCCCCTTTTATAAAAACTCGCTCCTAACCAAAATAAAAAGCCTCCTTGCATGTAGGAAAAACATTTATCACCAGAGAGTAAAATAGACTAGGTAGGAATCTGAAGCAGATAACGGGTCATTAACATTTCAGAAAGAGTCGAATCAAATGAACTCTAGAATTTGAGTTTTCTGAAAGCCTTTGAATAATTTTAGGAAACCATGTTTGGGGTTTACCCAGAAAAGAATTCCCTAGCCCCTCGTCCTCTCTAATGCCAATATTGAGTGATGTCGCTGGACACTGTCAAATCACTTTTAGAGGCAAATAATTTTGCTTATATAAGGAACATAATATAATTGTGGGTAAACGAGGCACAAGGTAAAAAAAGAAAACCCTTTAATTTTGTCCTACTGCTCATCAAAGAGAAAAAAAAAAAGTCAAGGGTATACAAGTCATCAAGATTTTTCAGGATATCTAAGGTTTATCATTTTAACTCTTAAAGGATCTTTAACTCCATGCCATTGAGAACCTGTTTTAAGCAAATGCAATGACCCTCTTTTCCCTCTTTCTCCTCTTTCCATTTAAAGGGTTCTGAGTATATGATTTGAAAAGAAAGTCCAACTAACCATGAGCTCAAAAATGATCATGGTTTTGCAGCTTTATTACTGATTCTCTAATTAGTCTGGTGATGTAAGTCAATACCCTGTATTTCTGAAGGGCGTGATACCATACATAATAAAGTGTTTACAGAGACAATGCCAGTACTAGCAGGGAAGGCAGAATCTTCACAATCACAACTCTGTTTATATTTTCACTATGAAGGGTAGTTCCTTTTCTCTGTAGATGGGATTATAGGTCTCATCCCGTAAAAGCACTGGCTGAAGCTGAACCTCCCACTGCAACAGGAAAATGAGGCAAGCTATACAAATACATACGCCATATTCAAACACACCTTCATTTACTGTGGCCACACATCATTTTAATAAACGTAACACATCTTACTTGAAAAACCATTTAAATGATAAGCTTTACCAGTAAAAGTAGAGAGAGAACTCTAATTCATATAATTTGCGAACCCCTATACTAATTATTGATAAATGAGAGCGCATATTATCATTGGTCTTTTAAATCTCACGTGTGGTTTTATAGTGAGAGGTAAAGACCATTTTATTCATGAGAAACTAACTCACTGATGGAAGCGTAGGTCAGGGAATGATCTGTCCTGAAAGACTCTGGTTCTGTTTATCAAAAGTACGCCCAAGGCTAAGTTCTATCATTCCACTCACTAACTGTGCTTTTAAAAACTCAAACTGAATAGTCTTTTCATCCCCAAATGAGTAAAAAAAGGATAAGCTATGGGAAACTTTTAGATTGTTTCTTTCTAAATAAATTATTAAAATCAGAGATTGTCCAAAACATTGAAGCTGCTTTCTTTCGCTGTAAATAGGTTTCTCTGGAATGTCTTCTTTTTTTTTTAAACCTTTAAATGGTGCTAAAATGACCATTTGCTGAGTAGCATGAAGCTGAAAGTTTACAGGCAGCAAAACCAGATATTATTTCTAGATAATAGAACAGTTTTATTCAAAAAAAGCTTCTTTGCTGAACCTGAGATTTAGAGATAATCCCCTCAGCTGTTCAAAACCAAGCCATGGATGGAATCATCTTAGAAAGTAGAACTTAGCTCGTTATTTTTTTCCTTCTTTAACTTTTTTTGGTTTATATATTGGTGATAAAACGACTTACTTTGTGCTCGTTAAAAATGTAATTATTTGGGAAAGATTAACTTTGAAAATTAAAAAATATTGGTTTTCCCCCTTTTAATTGGAATAAATATAATTTCAAGCTAAAAAATTAAAAATAATAATAGATTTAGCACTAAGATAGCTATTTAGGACAAACTGAGTTGGTTCTGTAATAAAAGTCTCTCAAGGTCGCCTTACTTTTCCCTCATCTACTTTCCACAGAAGTTAAACTTGATGTAGTACATCTTACCATATGTTTTTTGAAACTAGGTTCTATGGAACGTAGATAATTTTGTGAATTATGTGCAACAATGCTATGAACATTCGGGCAAAAAACTTAAAATATATCTCTGTTTTAAAATCAATTCAGGGCTTCCCTGGTGGCGCAGTGGTTGAGAGTCCAAGCAATATAGTAAAATAATAATAGAGTAATGAAATAAAGCTGTAACATTTGAATAGATTTTTTTTTTTTTTTTTTACCATTAGGTTTCTTTATTTCCTCAAAGCACAAACTTCATTTTCTTTCTGTATGCCTCAAAGCCATTGCGTGGATAATATTTTGTTAAATTATAGACAATGAAATAGGTGTCTAGATTACTCATAGGTTTTCTTTTCAAACAAAAAAAAAAAAAAAAAATCTATTCAAATGTTACAGCTTTATTTCATTACTCTATTATTATTTTACTATATTGCTTGGACTCTCAACCACTGCGCCACCAGGGAAGCCCTGAATTGATTTTAAAACAGAGATATATTTTAAGTTTTTTGCCCGAATGTTCATAGCATTGTTGCACATAATTCACAAAATTATCTACGTTCCATAGAACCTAGTTTCAAAAAACATATGGTAAGATGTACTACATCAAGTTTAACTTCTGTGGAAAGTAGATGAGGGAAAAGTAAGGCGACCTTGAGAGACTTTTATTACAGAACCAACTCAGTTTGTCCTAAATAGCTATCTTAGTGCTAAATCTATTATTATTTTGGTTTTATTATACCTGTGGCTCTTTGCTTTGGGGGAATGCTAAGAATTTAAAGAATTGTTCATTGTGTCCTAGATAAAAACCATCCTTTGATGTTCTGGAATCTTCAGAAGTTGAAGAAACAATGCTTGAAGAAGCTCAGCTATGTGCCATTCACTTAATCAGTATTTGTGGAACGAATTAAAATAGTTAAGGTGAGAAGATAGGTCTTTCTTCATCTTTTAAACATTTTTTACATTTTAAAGTTTAATTCTGTGGGGTGGGTAAACCTACATGGTGATGGTACGTGAAATACTCTCTTTCTCATGGGGACACAAAGAAAAGAGTCCAGATGGAAGGCTCTGGAATCAATGGGGCGGGTGAGATGAAGAGTTAATTCAGGAACAGCACCGTCCACAATGGAGCGGAAGCATCACGGCAACCACCGTAGGTCAGAAGGACTGTTTTAGAAATATGGTCACTATAGAGAAACTCCTCAAAATGACCCCTTCGTTGAAAACAGATGAACATGATCAGAAAATATCCGTGAAAAGGAAAACAATATAAAAATTTACACTCTTTTTTTTTTAGAGAATAGAAGCAAGGCTCATGGGTTTGCCTAACTTTGGAGATCACTGCTAATGCTCAAAACAATGCTTGTTTCATGTCCTTAGAAAGTTAAAAATGGTGCTTCTTATATAAAGGGTTCATCAGTTAAGTCATAGAAAGAGAGACAGCTGCTGATGGGCAGGTTATGGAATCAGTCCCTACAATTCAGTTATGACAAGCACTGGGTTCTTTTCTTTTACATCAATTTCATTTGTTTTAACAGAAAGCCAGAGATGCACAATACTGTAACCTGGAAGCTTATATAAGGCAGCAGAAAGCATCACCATCACCCTAGATTGGACAGACTAAGTAAGGTCTACTTTTGGCTACACTAGCAACTGGCTAGAGCCCATAGCATTTTGCCACATGAGATATAAAAGCCAAAGATCCACAGCGAGGGAGGCAAGTGAGAAATCAGTGACGTGGTGATGTGTGACTACATGATAGGAACACACGACAAAATGAAACCCCCGATGCCCATGGATTCAATTCCAGTCAAGTGAATTAAGGCTACTAGATCACTGGCTGCTAGGAAGAGTCCATTCCAATCGAGCAGTAAGGAACCGATTCCCTCTTGAAGACACAAGGAAAGGTTTAGAGGAAAAGCAAGTTCTTGGAAAGAGTGAAGCACACACATGCATGTTGTCTCTGAGCTGAGGAAACTGGAGGGAAAAAAACGTAAGGGAAAAAAAAATAAGAGGGATCAAAGCAATCCAACTGCAAGGCAAGGCAGGTGTTTGCTTCCAGTTCACAGTATCGCAGTTAGTGGTACAGGGAGGTCTACGTAAGTGGTGGAGAGCACAAAGGCTGCCCAGAAGAAAAGGGAAGAAAGAAGTGGTCACATGACAACACAGCATTGACAGCGCTTTTTCTTTTGGGTACCTGGGGCTGGCTCCGTGGCCAGGCTTTCTTCCTTCCCTTCGGGGGATGAGGGCTCTGTGGTGTCTGAGACGGGTCTCCCGGACACCAGCTCAGCTGCGTTCCCATCAATAGTGGACACATCTGTCACTGTCTTCTCCCTCAATGACTTCTCATCGTCTTCATCAATGAGGACCAACTCAGCCTTGATGGTTTCATCATAGCCTAGCACCTTCTTTGTCTCTTCTTCATCCTCGATATTTTGGTAGCCCATGAAAATCATGGTGACTGGCTGATCCAAGGTTGCCTCCGGCCCTTCAGTGCTGGGGGCTGGAGCCTGCTGCCCTGGGTTCCCAGAAGTATGATCTTTCCTAGACTTATGGACCATTTCTAACTTGGCTTCTTTGCAGAGCATATGTTCCTTAGGGTGGCTGAGGCTCCCATCTGCAACCACAGTCCTTTCTGACACGTACCCTCCTCTTAAGCTTGATTGTCCAGCCTTCTGAACAAGCTCTTTTACATCCTTTGAGCTTAATCTGTGCACTCCGTTTTCTACTATGGTGCCTCCTGAGTGCACCTCATACACTACTTTGGTACCATCATCAAAGACTTTGACTCCTCTCTGATGGACCCCCTCTGGGCCAATGGTGGATGTAGAGAGAATCTTGGTCTCTCCTGTTTGTTTGTCTTTCTCCACATTAATTTCCATGGCGTACACAGCTTGAATGAAAACAAGAGAAAGGAAGTGCATGTTACAACAAAAAAAGCCAGTGAATGGTTAATTGCCAAACAGACAAAAAAAAAAGGTGCTGTGCCCTTTCTAGTCTAACTGCCAAGCATCTTGAGTGTTAGAGTGAGTGCAATGTGGACAGAGGTGGTTATATATGTGTTTTAACACAGCAGCTAAATGCACTGGGAAGACACATGTACAGAGTTACCATATCTCAATGGCACTCACACTTCCCAGGAAAATGAGCTAAAATAAGGCCACGAGCGACTGCTGAGATCCAGTGTGACACATTACAGGGAGGCTGACAACATGCAAGTTTACCTTGATCGTGAGCGTACCTTAGGCTTACAGACAATTTTAAAGCCCTTGGTTAAGATGTAACCTAGTTCCAAAATCTTAAATCTCTTTTAAAAATTCTTTTACAGGGTATTCTACTGTTCTTTAGACATTTCCCCTTTCTGTAATGAAGATTACACAAAGGGTTTTGCAGGTGGCACATGGCCATCCTCTACTGTACTCTAAAAGGGGATATTTATAAAAATTGAAAGCTATGAAAGGAGTCCGATTATATGCTCTGTAAGCTTCAGTCACTTTGTTAGGTTTCTAAGATAAGAGCTAGAAAAAGAACAGACTAGAGGTGGTGTCAACCCACGACACTGCAATTTGAGGACTATACTCACAGAAAGCCTCTTTCTTGCCCCATGCACGCACTGCCGAGTCCTCGAGATTCTGCCCCATACTTACTTCCTATCTGCCGCCTTCTTTCTGTCCTCCTGCCACCACTCCCTCTTCCCTAGATATCACAAGAGCTTCCTACCTGGTCTTCCCAGGTCCAATCTTGGCCTCTCCAACTCATCTCAAACCCTGCTGCTGGTCCGAGCTTCCTAAGAACCAGCTCTTTCCCGTCCTGTAGACTTACGTGACACTCCATACTTTCAAATCTATTACCTCAGAGACTCCCTGTGAGGCACACGGCCTGGATGGGAGGAAACTGGGCCTCAGACCCACTGAGTCAACTGTCCCCAGACACCCTTTCCCTGAATGACCCACAGATACATCAGACTCTGCAGCTGCAAAACTGAATCCATCTTCTCTCAAAACTCCCCCGTAGTCTTGGTATGAAGTAACACCAGCTCCACTACCTAGCCTTTCAAGCGAGAAGCCTCAGAATCATACCTGATTTTTCCTTTTCTTCCTAATTACCCGGAGTCAAACAACTGCTGAGACTAATTCTATTTCAGATCCATCCCCATGCACCTCCTCACCACTCTCTCTATCACTACTGCCTTAGACCAGGCCCTCTTCGGCACAATTACCTGTGTTCGATTTTTAACTGCTACTTCTGTCTTTTCATTGCCAGTGGGCCAAAGACAGCTGAGGCCCCGTTTTGCATGGCCAGAGGAGCAAAGAATGGCCTTTACATTAAAAAAAAAAAAAATTTTAAAAAAAAGGAAGGAGGGAAAGACCTTAAGAAAGAGAAAAGGAAAAAAAAAAGATATGCAACAGAGACCATACGTGGTCCACAAAGTCTAAAATATTTATGATCTGGCCCTATACAGAAAAAGTCAGCTGATCCCTGCTAGCCTAGGCTTCACCCTGCCCACAGAGCTACCTTACTTACAAACCCTCTGTTGGCTCCTGTGTCTGTAGAGGGTAAACACCAAACTCCTTAGCTTGGCATGTGATTACCTTTGGCATTTATCTGCAATCTTCCTTTCTTGTCTTGTCTTGCGGCCCCTCTCATTCCACATACACTCCGGCCATAACAAAGTTCTCACTATTCCCAGGACATCCCCCCATGACTCATCCCTGTGCCTGCTGTCCCTGTGCCTAGACTGCCTTTTGTCCCTCCTCCACTGGCAGACCCTAGAGTCCTATGTCACACCTCTGCTCATCATGGCTGTTGGGTCCCTACCTCTTTCTGAAGAACTACAAGTTCCCCAACTGTGTTAAAAAGATCCAAACTATCTTTCCAATCACACATGTCATTGCTTCCCTTCCCTCTAGAGCGACCAAAAAACACCATCTCACACCTAACATTTCCTGCTTTTAAGATTCCCTTCTCTTGAAAAGTCCTTCTTTTGAGTTTCTTTATATCCAAATATGACTCATCCATTGATGCCCAGGTCAACAGCGCCCTCTTCCATGAGCTTTCTTTGATCATCCATCTCTAAGTCATCCCTCTCTTCTCAAGATTCTCTGAACACTTCTTCTAGACCTCTCTGAAGGCACTTAACACTTTCCACGCAGTAATATAACTATCTGTGGGAATGTTTTATTAGCTCCATAGATTCTTAGGATCCTTGAAGGCTAGTTTTTTGCCTGACATCTTTCTATGATTCCCCCTCCCTCCCAACACCCACCTTAGAACCTTTTGTAGAAAAGGTACCTGCTATACATACCTGTGAAACAGTTGCTACTAACTGAAAAGTCTAATTTGTTGTTTTAATCTAGTCACAGATACTTTATATAATATGACACCAATGAAAAGGTACGCACAGTGATTAATGTTTGTACTGGTTAAAAAAAATAGCAACAGTGTTATTCCATCTGCTTGTGTAATAAGATACAATCTGATCACGGTTAACACTTAACTAAAAAGATTTGAAGCAAAATCCAATGCTCGATTTTTCATTGTGTCTGTTTTGAAAGTTTCACTTGCTCAGCACAAAGATGTTGAGTTTCCTTAAGTGACACAATGGGAGGCCAACCAATATTTGTCATAGAGGTACATGAGATCACACAATGACGGTGATATCAAGAGAACTATCTGTTTCTGTTATTTCCCGATTTTCCACAAAATGTGTTATCAAAGAAATAGAATAGGTATTTAAAATTTTGCATGGGCTCCAAAAGTCCATTCTTTAAATATTACATTTATACTAAAAAGCACAATTTTGGGTTAAAATCTTATGTCCTATCACTATTAACACACTCATGGGACATATTTATAAATAAGAAAGGTAACAATGATTGTCAGTTATAGATACAACACCACAAACATCCAGTAATATATGAACCAAATGATACATTGAGCTGCAATCAATACAGAGTATGGAATAAAATATTTCTACTTTTATGTCTATATCTGATAGGATACAAATTATGAACATAGGTATCTTTAGGGATGTCCCTCTCTCTCTGTGCCCACCAATGAGAATGCTGTCATTTTTGGTCCAATTTTCCCTTTTCTGCCATTATAATCCCCAACTTCATCTGGTCCTTGCCTGTTCCTAGAATCAGAGACTGGATTGAAAGGAGGGATGACGAGAAGGTCTTTGCTAGAACGGTTAAGTAGATCCATACAATAAAGAGTTGAGAAAGACGGAGTTGAATGGAAGACACAGTGAAAGCTGTGTGGAAGAAGGATAGGGAAGGAACATTCTGTGGCCGTGGATGATGCTTTGGAGAATTATATGTGGAGGGAAGTAAAGGCAACATAAGTGCTTCTGGGTGGAGATATGAATTGGATCCCTTTTAATATCCTTCAGGAAATATAGGTAAAGAACAGAGTTTCTTTTTAGTGGGTTTTCTTTTCTTTTTGTTTGTGATTTTAAGCTGTATTTTGTTAAGTGTGACATGGCCCTGGAACTGAACCACAAGTGACATGGATTCATTAGGGTTACAGGTTAGTAGTTATATTTATATGTTATACACTGTTCTTTCAATATTTCTAGAATCTGAGAGCATAACACTTTAAGACATTTTTATAATAAAAGAAACCTAGATATGTTATGCCATAAAAGACAACATTCGTATGTATTTTTTTCCCCAGATAAGATGTTGGGCTTCAAAGGAACCACGGGCTTTTAGCAGGTTTCTTCAGCTCTGGTCTCACATACCCTGTCTGCCTTCACTCTCTTCTCTAGTAAGGGGGAGCCAGCCAAACACTTCGAGAAGCTCTGGTTTACACAAAGGCAATATTTTTGTTTGTTTGTTTCCAGATTTATTGAGATATTGTTGACATATAACATATGTAAGTTTAAGATGTACAATGTGATGATTCAATATACATATATACTGCAAAATGATTACCAAAATAAGGTTAGTTAACCCCTTCACCCCCTCACATAATTGCCATTTTTAGGGCTGATAACTTTGAACTTCTACTCTCTTAAGACAATACTTAGACTTTATGGATACATATATGAGAATGTTATTAGACATTCAGGAAACCACACAGGAAGTGTGAACATTTATCTTAAATGTGTTGTTTATGAATAAGTATTTCTATTTTGCTCCAGTTCTCAGCCAATAATATCCCAAATGTGAACGAGGGTGGATATGAACCAGTAGGAAAATAAGACATTTTAAATTCAACATTTTGTTTACAAGGCATGCACACAATTTTTAAAACTCTTCTGCTTTTTATTCCTGCCAAGTAGCGTACACCAAAGACCTCTCCTCTCCCTTACATCATGCCCTCATCTCAAACCACAAAGAACACTCTCGAATCTGCCCTTTTCTTTCCTCAAGGCTCCCCATGCCACAGGTACACAGTGACGAGGATCGTTAAGGGCTTGTTATCTAAGCTCATCTTATTGAAAAAAAATGAGGAGGGTGGTACTGCTCAGGGGAGGAAACTTTCTGGGGAGCCCTTGAAAGAGATTTTGAAAGAGCCCCGTGAACAAAAAGAAAAGTATTTGAGGAAGGACCGGGAGACAGAGAAATAAGAAAGAAGACAGTCCAATGGACACTGCAATGATGGGATGACTGAAATTTGGAAGTACGTCTTTATAAAATGATATATTTAATTATCGCACCTGACACAAGTAAGGAGAGGGGGGCACCAACTGGCATGATTCCATTTCAGGATCGAGACAAGAGCACACAAGACAGGACTCTGTGCTCCGTAAGGACAGAACTATTCAATCACTGTTAAATTTGTCAACCCAGGCTGCTCCCAGCTCACTTCCTTTGACTCACTGTAACCAGTGGGCAGAAGAATAAGGCTGAGGGTCCACGTGTAAAGTATAAAAAGACACGCCCC